TTCGAGCATGCTAGTATTGGGCCATTTTACCAGTGAATTAATTTTCTTCGTCTCCTTGTTTAGCGATTTTCTTCGACTAGAAGAGTCGTAGAGATGGGCGATTGCTGCGCGACCATGATTCTAACTTTTTTTAGAGGACTACTAACGATAAATGGACGACGATTTGTGCTGGAAGCAGAGCCGAATGCATCGTTCCGTCTTGTTCCATTATCAGTGCAGTCGTGTGGTAAATGTTTTTGTCAGTTTTGTATTTTTTAGTTCTTTCATCTTGATACAATAGATGAAATACGTTTTAGAATGGGGCGGAAGGCGAAAGCGTTCTGCTGATGGATCTCATACGGCTGATTATTATAAGCAGTATCTGGATGGTCGATGGCGTTATGTAGAACTTGCACTCATCGCTGATAGATTAGTGGTTTGTTTTTAAATGATAATCTGAAAATTATTTTTTTTTTTTTGGCATAATCAATTCATTTGAGGCACCAACTAGTGGTATGGTGTGCGACAGTTAGGATATGCTAGAATTCTTGGTTTTAACCTCGCCGAAAGTCTACTTTTTGCCCAGCGCCCACATTCCCTGTCAGCGGGTGATTTTAAATTTCTTTGTCGAGGAGATTGTGTGACTTTCGTTTATATGTAAAATACAATAAAAAATGAAGTTGAACGCGGATCAGTAGGTAAGTAGAACAGCTTTCCTGAACACCGACGAACAGCTGAGGAACACTGGCAAAAAAAAGCTTAAGAACGAGACATAGTGACCCTGTCAGTCTTTTCTCAATTCGGTTTTGCTCGCAGTAAAATTTTTGTAATACTTTAGCTCGACCCCATCAAAAATCGTTCATGTTCGTCCTCCCCTTGTCATTATTTGCTAACATGGAAAGCAGAGTCGATGAGTATGAGCTGAGGGTAGGCAGCCCAAAACGGGGCCTATTTAGTATGGAAACGCTCGATAGCTTGTAGCTGTAACTCGGTAACACCGAAAAATGTACTTTGATTCGTTCAAATGTTCTCTAGCTTTTCACTTACCGAATATATTGTTTCTAAACTTGCTGAAATTTATGCCAATGATGACATGTGTGGATTTTATCGATGAAGATGACAAATGGGTTAGTTATCGTAGGGGAGGGAGGAGAGGGGGGGGGGGGGGGGGGGGGGGGGGGGGG